AAAAGTAGCAGAAGGCTAGCTTTAAGAAGTAAAAGTAGCAGAAGGCTAGTTTATAGTTAAAAGTAGAATTACAATATAATCTACAGACGTGGATATGATGGCTGTTGTTTGGCAGTTATGCAATGACGTTTTTGTAATTTTTGTTTTCCAGACAACAAGAGGAGATGCACTGGAGGGTATCGAGTGCAGAGAACTTTTCTAGGATGAGGCTGAAGCTGGTTCGCAATTACAACTTTGACCCCCACCGAGAGGCCTGTGCTCTGAGAGACAATCTAGGTAAGGCCTCAGGCTGGCCTACATGTGCTCATCTGGTTTGTCGTGTTCATGTTTATATTGTTTCTTATAAATTTCCTATACTATTGTTATATTCTGAATCAGCTCCACCACAACGTTCCAATCGGGTCGACTGAGGTCACCTCAGTGACCTTGGCAGCAATAATAAGCTAATCATTTATTTCAAAAGGCAAGAATAATAATTTTGCTGCTCCATCTCTGGATGCGTCTCTCAGGTGTCCATCAGCAGCGTGTAAACCCCGAGTCTCTGCTGCTGGAAGCCGTGAAGCAGGTCAAAGTCAGCGACCTGGAAGACGACATCTTGGAGCTGCCGGAGGACGACCCTGCTGCTGCCAGCACCCAGTGAGTTCAACAAAAACCACGAAGATAAATATGAATAAATGCAGCTTCTGTTCCAAAACCTCGTTTCATGTGTCTCTTTGTAGGGTTGAAGCAGAAGAGGCAGGTCAGAAGGAAAAACTGGTTTTGGGCGAGGACTGTGAGCTGGTGACGGTTGTGGACGTTGTCCCCGGCCGCCTCGAGCTCACCACACAACACATCTACTTCTACGACAGCAGCCAGGAGAAAGAGGAGGGTGAGAAGAGCGCAGGAGCGCTACAGGATTTAAACGTGTGAAGGAACGGAAACATTAACTTGTCGTTTTTCCCCTCCCCTATGAAAGGAGTGGGCCACGACTTCAAATGGCCTCTGTCCCAAATACGAGAGGTCCACCTCAGACGGTACAACCTGCGTCGCTCCGCTCTGGAGATCTTCCTCATTGACCAGACAAGTTACTTCCTCAACTTTAAGAAAGAGGTGATGAGCCACCTCGGATAGAAGGATGGAAAAGAATACACAGACTTAAAGTGCACTACGTAAACCTAATTAGTTTTTTCTTTTTCAGGCGAGGAACAAAGTCTACAGTCGCATGCTGCTGCTTCGGTCGCTCAACCTTTATGGAACCCGATCACCGCAAGAACTCCTCAAAGCCTCTGGACTCACACAGGTAAAAAGGCCAAACCATACCACACATTTAGTACCGTATTTTTCGCCCTGTTAGTCGTGCTTTTTTGCATAATTTGTGTGCCCATGCCAATGAACAGAGGACGCCATCTCTGTGGTCCACACTGCTCTCACCCACCTGGAGCAGAAGGACTCCTACGTCCGTATGCTCTTTGTGGACTTCACATCCGCCTTCAACACCATGATCCCCCAAACCCTGATGGACAAACTGCTCACACTAGGACTAAGCCCCTCCATTTGCAACTGGGTACTAGACTTCTTAACAAACAGACCACAGTCAGTGAGGATCCACAACCTCTCCTCCTCCACCATAACCCTCAGCACTGGCTCTCCTCAGGGATGTGTGTTGAGCCCCCTCCTGTTTACTCTGCTCACGTATGATTGTGCAGCTACCCATCCAGGCTCTCACATTGTAAAGTTTGCAGATGATACAGTGGTGGTGGGATGCATCACAAACAATGATGAGTCCAGCTACAGGCAGGAGGTGGAACACCTGGAGAGCTGGTGCAGAGAGAATAACCTTCACATCAATGTGAAGAAGACAAAGGACAAAGGATTGTGGACTTCAGAAGGAACAAAAACACCTTCACTCCCCTGAACGTAAGAGGATCTGCAGTGGAAGTGGTCTCCAGCTACAAGTACTTGGGTGTACACCTGACTGACAACCTCAGCTGGAGCAACAACACCACCAGCCTGATCAAGAAAGCTCATCAGAGACTCTACTTCCTCAGACGGCTGAGACGAGCTGGTCTGGAAGCTCAGTCCTCACCTCCTTCTACAGGTGTGCAGTGGAGAGCATCCTGTGCTCGAGCATCAACGTGTGGCATGGATGCTGCACAGCTGCAGAAAGAAAAGCTTTGCAGAGAGTGGTGAAGGCTGCACAGAAAATGTCGGAGTCAGTCTCCCCACCATCACAGACATCTACACCTCCAGATGCAGGAAGAGGGCCACCTGCATCATGAAGGACCCCACTCACCCAGCACACACACTTTTTGCCCCACTCCCCTCAGGAAGGAGGTTAAGGAGCATTAAATGTAGAACCACTAGACTGAGGAACAGCTTCTACCCTGAGGCTGTTAGACTCATGAATCTCTAACCAGAATAATCACATCATGTTGCTGCTGATCTGTTTCATGTTGCTGCTGATCTGTTTCATGTTGATGTGTTCATGCGTGTTCATCTGCTCACACAGACTCATGTTTATGCTGATGTTCGACAAAGTGTTTTTTTGCTACTAGTGCTTAGTGTATATTTAGTTGTTTTTCTTAGTTCATATCTTAGATGTTATTACTGCTTTTCTTTTACATTTTATTGTTGGATGTAACTGGGACCCTGTGTACATAATTTCATTCCACCACATGTACCACATGAGGTGCGAATGACAAATAAATCTCTCTGAATCTCTGAAAAAAGTTTCAATGAGTGCCAAAAAATGGGGAATTAGAAAGCTTAAATGAACGTTAAAATAGCTAAATAGCAGCAGAAATAGTTGAAACTTGCAGAAAGAATTTGAAAGGAGCATGATGCAGCTTAAAAAAAGCTGAAATTAGTTGGAAGTAGCTGAATTTTTTTTTTTACATTTGCACAAGGAAGCTGAAAGGAGCTGAAGCAGAACAAAATGTTTACAACCTTTTACTGCTCCTTTCACAGAGCTAAAAATTTGATGGAAGTAAAATGAGCTCAATTCATTTTCGATGAGGAAAAAAATGTCAGAAAAGGCTAAATATTTCAAAAAGCTAAAGTTGCGCCAATACCAAAAGTAGCTGAACGTTTTGAAATATGAATTGTTGAAATAGCTTGAAAACTGCGGGATGAAAAAGATGCAAACACAAAGAACAGGGATAGTAACTGTAAGAAATATAAAACAGGATCACAGTAGTGTGAATGCTTAATATTCACACTATTAACATGATGAAAGTTGTTTGACTACTTTTAAGACCAATTTATCTTCATATATATTTTCTGATGTAGGGTAGTAATGCAGAATTGCAACAGTTATGTCGTCGAAATAAACAAATCTCACATTGTTGTTTTTTACCACCACCACTAGATGGCAGACACACGTTTCTTGGGTTATGCCCTGAACTTATACGTTTAGAAACATACATTTTGGGACAAGAAAAGAAAGGCAATGAGTCAGCGGTGGTCTTTAACAGCGCAGAACTTTTGGAGCATAGTTAGGATCAAATGAGAGACCGATTCCAATTTGAGAGAGACAGTCAGTCTCTCTAGTGTGCCCTTGAGGTCTCCTCCCTGTTGGACATACCTTCCTATAGAGGCAAGTCAACTTTGGTACCTAGAGTCAGAGCGCCAAGGCCCATGCCTTCGGCTGCCGTGTATGGCACGATGCATGCAACTCGTATGGCCCCTCTTGCAGGGGTGGACCCACAGGAAGGCAAACACATGTAACTTATCGGGGACGAGCCCCAGCCCCCAAAGGCCACCAACTCTTCCCCAGACCAGCCTCTAGGTGAGGTTCCAGTAACCCACGTCCAGTTGAGGAACTTCAAGCTCCTTGCTGTCTTATGCTCATACATGTATAGTAAATTGCTCTTGGACTGGCCAGTCACCTAGGACCAATCTGTTTGGGGAGATTGCCCCCAACAGCATATCTCTTTGAACAGTGGTGTCCACTCCTGGACCTTAAGGGACACTACCCTACAAGTTTTAGTTGTTACTGTCTTGATACACCTGATGTGAATGAATAAGTGATTTACTGCCTTCTGTAGAATTATAGACACGTCCGAGGACCAGGGTTAGGTACCACCGTCCTAGGACCAGGGTTAGGTACCACTGTACTAGGACCAGGGTTAGGTACCACTGTACTAGGACCAGGGTTAGGTACCACTGTACTAGGACCATTCAGACACACAAACTCGAGGTGGCAACTCAAACCTTCAAGAAAACTGCTTGTAACCCAAAATGCCTACCACCGATTTGAAACGCATTCATCTGAGAAACTCTTCCTTACTTGCCTTAAAGATAACTCAGAAACGTAAGTGTTGTTGGTGCTTCTCTCAGAGGGAGGTCCAGATTGTGAAACTGTGAACATGATTGTCCAAATAATTTCTCTCCAGCTGTCAGCCCTTGGGGTCTTAGTTAAAATATGACGTGAATAACAACAGACTCTGTTTCAGTGTCGACACCGGTAGTTGTAGAGTTAAAATTAGCTTTAGTGTCTTGAAGAAACATCATAAAGATTCTGGACTTGAATTATTCCGGAGTCTCGTCTATAAGTTTTTTTTGTTTTTCAAGTTGTTTGTTATGAAAGTGAATTGAATCTGTGTGCTGTTTGTTGCAGAAATGGGTGAGCCGAGAGATTTCCAACTTTGATTATTTGATGCAACTCAACACGATTGCGGGCAGGACCTACAACGACCTCGCTCAGTACCCGGTGGTATGTTCATTACTTTTCTTTTTTAGATTTCCAGAACAATTCTTTCAACCTTTATTTATACGAGTTAGCCTCATTGATCCACGAGGACTCGTTTACAAGAGAGACCTGTCCAGGGATACCAATTCAGACCACACATTTTGGAGTACACTCATGGGGAACACTAAATAGAAGATCTTTGAGTGGAAAAACAAAGTGATCCGACAGTTTGTAGAACCTCTTTCGACAACCTTACCTCTCAGAAGTCGTCTTCTGTAGAGCTTTGTCAGTCGCTCACATGGTTGTGGAGGAATTTAGGAGCGCTCTCTGAAAAGGATTTCTGACTAGTTGGAACAGTAGACCTTTGATTAACAATTACTTGGATTATAAAAACAGACCTTAAAAATACTGCAAGCTGTTTAGCTTTTACAACTGTTTTTGAAATTCATGGCACACGGACGTCACCCGTGCTCCAGTGCAAGCTCATTGTTAACGTTTGACGTTACCCGACATTCTTTTCTTTAATTTGAACTGGAGCGTGTACGGAGAAGAATCCTGTACAGACTCGGCTATCGTGTTTCCTCAAGAGCTAATACTATATATGACGTTAGCTCCAGAGCTAATACCTTTTGGCATCGGCGGGGCTCTGTTTTATCGTCTTTTGAAGAAGACATCGGCGGCAGTTTCGGCCATGACAAAGCTTCCGGGTCAGTGTGAAGGTTTGGTCCGTGCTGTAGGAACTCTAAATCAACTGGTCTACGAGCTAAACCGTAAGGTGGAGGCGATTTATGAGAATCGCAGGCCACCTGCGGCTTCTGGGACTCGTCTGCGCGGTGGGTTCGACCTTGAGGAAGACTCATAACATGGATCAGTGGAATGGAATCCCACAATTAGGCCATTTTGAACCAGAATGGACTCGAGGCTAAAGAAGGAAATCAACAATCAAAGCTTATCTGAAGGTCATCTGACTCCCAACGGCCTTTAGCTCCCGTTAGCTCCTAAGCTAATATGTTGGCCGTTAGCTTCAGAGCTAAAATGTATGGCGTTTGCTCCTGAGCTAATTAAACATCACAAGTTGATCATATTTGATTGTTTCGACCCATATATTGTGCATAAGGACTAATATAACAAAATGTAAATATTGTCACGTTGTAACTTTTTTGCCTTGGCTGCTTGTGTTTTCGTCTCCATCACATGCATGTCATTGTCCCATAATGCATTGCACTTGTAAAGTAATGGCAAGGTCCTTGGGTAAAAAACATTATAAACATGTATAATTTTTTTTTAAGTACTTAAGATTTTTCACTTGTCACAAGCAAATTGTAGTAGAATAGAGAAATGTCAACGTATTTAGGCCAATATGCCAATAGTCTGAGATCTCCATAAGGTCCTAAGCTAAATCCTACAAAAGTAATAAGGGTGGACTTCGTTTTTCTCTCACAACGTCTCCGGGTATCTACAGTATAAAACCCTTGAACTGAAAGAGGGTGGACTCTTGTTTGTGTATGTGTGACTGTTAATCTGAATTTGAGGTACTTTTGTTTGGTTTGTGTTTCCAGTTTCCCTGGATTCTGTCCGACTACGCTTCAGAAGAGCTGGACCTCTCTGATGCCCGGGTGTTCAGGGACCTGTCAAAGCCAGTAGCTGTTCAAAATGAGCGCAACGCTAAAGCAGTTAGAGAGAAGTATTAACCTTCTTTTAGACGGTAATCATTCAGAAGATGTATAAATACCTGAGTGTTGTAGTTAAATCATTTCACTTGTCTGTCAGGTACAACAGTTTCGAGGACCCAACAGGGACCATTGACAGGTTCCATTACGGCACGCACTACTCGAACGCTGCCGGAGTGATGCACTACATGATCAGAGTGGAACCCTTCACCTCCCTGCACATCCAACTGCAGAGCGGACGGTAAGCTGTCCTCCTCATTGTCTGAACGTCTCGTAGATCGAAGCTTTAACATCCGTACGCTGCCTTGATTCAGGTTCGACTGCGCTGACAGGCAGTTCCATTCGATCCCAGCGACGTGGCAGACCCTCATGGACAACCCCAATGACGTCAAGGAGCTCATCCCCGAGTTCTTCTACTTCCCAGAGTTTCTGGAGAACCAAAACGGTGACGTTTGACTGTATGGCTAGTGGGAAACTTGTCTTTAGGGCTTCATTTACGTGAGAACTAACTGTCTTCCTGTTTCTTCGGCCTTTGTTCTTGATGTCAAACCAGGCTTTGATCTAGGCCGCCTGCAGATCTCCAAGGAGAGGGTAAATGATGTTGTTCTACCCAAATGGGCCAAGTCCCCGGAGGACTTCATCTACAAGCACCGCAAAGCTCTGGTGAGGCCCAGTTTCAGTTCCAACACCCTAATAATGCCACTCGTCAGAGACCGTTCCCACAAGACAGAAAACGGAACTTTCCTTTTGAGTCAACACAACCGACACAAGTTCTTGTATTTGTCTGTCCCTTCTCATCACACATTGGACATTTTTGGGCTCCCAACAGGAGTCGGAGTACGTCTCCGCGCACCTCCACGAGTGGATCGACCTGATCTTTGGTTACAAGCAGAAGGGTCCTGCAGCAGCGGAGGCTCTCAACGTATTCTACTACTGCACATATGAGGGTAAGGTGTCACGCTGAGTCACGGCTCGGGTCTGTTAGCTTCGTAAAGGGAGTATCTCGTTGCGCTGCGGCTGTATGAGACTCAAACTGGCAAGAAAATTGTGAGGACTTGAGCTAATTTTCAGTGGACGTCCGATTGGATTCTCTTCGCTGCCACGTTTTGCGGAAGCAGTTTTTGAGCTGTAGCCTGATGTTTTCTGTTGTAGGAGAGCTCCCAGTTCTTTTTTTTTATACGCATTCAAAATTCAAGCAAAAAGTCGTGAACAAGCAGCGCATTGAGACACCTGTTGAAGTGTTATTAAAGTTGACTGTCGTTCCAGGGGCAGTGGACTTGGATGCCATTACTGATGAAAAGGAGCGGAAAGCTTTGGAAGGAATGATCAGTAACTTTGGTCAGACCCCCTGCCAGTTACTCAAGGTGAAGACACGATATCTGAAATCAAATTAAAGGGTTAAATTCATCGTGTAACACGATGAGTGGGTTAAGTTGCCTCATTTTGACTCTGTATGTTCGTCCTCGCTCAGGAGCCCCATCCAGTGCGCCTGTCTCAGGAGGAAGTAGAGAAGAAGAAGGCTCAGCAGGACTCATGTCCTCTCAACATGTTTGAACACCTCAGTGACCTCAAGTCCTTTTTTGTTGAGGTTCATATCTTTACCTTTTGTTGATCCACTTCACCAAACTGATTATCTCTGAGTTTTTTATTTCATTCAAACTTTATTTAGACAGGTTAATCCCATTGAGCCTCAAGGACTCCTTTAGAGAGACCTGATTTCAAATGATGACGACTATAGACAGCCACAAAAAGGCATACAGATTTTTTTTATTTTTACAAATAAGATGGCTACAAGAGTAACAAAAAACAGCTAGATTATAAGGCGAATGTAGAAAACTAGAAACAGGAACATGTCTGCACTGGTTCTTGCCAGGAACTTAGATGTTTGAAGCCACTTAGAGGTCAAGGTCGAGAGCTTCAGATCTTTTTACAAGATATTCCAGGAAACAGGAGCGGAGTAGGAGAAGGTCCTCTTGTCTAGTTCAGTTCTCATTGAGGGAACACTGCAGGTAATGATGTCCTGAGAGCGCACGCTGTAGCTGCACTCACGCAGAGACATGTAGGAGGAGATGTATGAAGGCAGCAGACCAAGAAGTGATTTAAAGATGAAAATGTACCAGTGAGAGTCTGCGTGAAGTTAATGACCAGTTAACCAGTGGATACTGGATGCAGTGGTGGGTACGATAATCACAGCCAGTTATGAATCTTAGTGCACCGTGATAGACAGCATCCAACATCTGCAGCATCCAACATCTGCAGGGTTCTTGTAGGAGCGTTCATGTAAATAATGTCACCGTACTCAATGGAGGGAAGGAAAGTCACAGATACAAGGTGTTTCCTAGTGTTCAGAGTTAGACAGGATCTGTTTCTGAAAAAAAAACCCAGTTTAACTTTCAGTTTCTTTACCAAGTTTTCCACATGGAGCTTAAAAGAGAGATGAGTCGACCAAGATACCCAAATATTTAGAGGACTCGACAAACTCAATAGGGACACCATTTGAGGATAAAATCTGAGGAAGAACTGCTGGGACCGACTTCCTGTTTGAAAAAAAGCATCCTGTTGGTTTTGTCGGCGTTTAGGACAAGTTTGAGGCGGAACAAATATGTCTGGATGTTGTTGAATGCAGATTTCAAAAGCCGGAAAGCCTTAGCAACTGTTTTAGCTCGACAATAAACAACTGTGTCATCAGCATAGAAATGTAAGGATGCATCAGGGATCTTGAACAAAGTCCTTGCTCCTCATGTTTCAGGGTATCAGTGACAACGCGTCGCTGGTTAAAGCCGTCGTGCCAAAGAATCAGTCCCGTTCCTTTATCACCCAGGGGAGTCCTGACACACTGGTGAGCTTAAGAACCTTTTTATACTACTCTGATTTGATTAATTCACGCTAATGGCTACTTTGATCAACTTTTGAAGGGTTTTCAGTTTGAGCTACTGCACTGCCAAAGTTTCCGTCATAAAAGTTTGAACAAAATGCCTACGTTTTGACGTACTGTGTAAAAGTTGTAAAGAGAACAATAATCAAAATAAACGATGAAGCTCCTTCAACTGGCTCGATGGGGTCGTCATGGTAACCTCACATCTGTGTTTCTCACTCCCTGCCAGCGCTCTTTTTTTTTTTAAGCGAGAAAGCAGAGTATTGTTAAAGTCACAACGTGAAAACTGTTGCGTTGCTCCTGAATCTTAAGGGGCAGAAGCGTCTGATCGTCACGTGAATTTTTACGTCTACAGAAGGAAATACGACGAGTAAAATATCTGAGCTCAGATACGCTGAGAGTTGAGTCAGCGGTTCATGGAGGGCTGCTTTTTCACACTTGTTCTACCAAAGTTTTATTGTTTTCCTTGGACATTTTCCACTGCTTTTTATTTTATTTATTTTTTTATTATCTTACCTGCACCCTACAATGTACTTCTACCAATCGTCAGTTTGATGTTTGTTTTGTTTGTATGAGTTTTTCCAAAGCTTGGGGAGAAGTAGCGAATCAAACATGATGGAAATGAAAGAATGTCAAGAATATAGTAAAAGGGGCGCTTCAAAGACGTAGCACTTTGAGTAACGTACAAGTTAGAATGATTTTATTTGGATGAAAGATGAACTTTAACTCAAGGACTACGTTGAACTGTACTGTCTGTAGGTGACGGTGAGTAAGAACTGCCTGGTGGGGACTCATGGTTGGCTGCCTTACAACAAGAACATCTCCAACTACTTCACCTTCATCAAGGACCCCGCAGTGTCCAACACCAAGTGAGAACTAATGTTCCTGCTGCATATTTACGATTGTGGATACATTTGTTTGTATCCTTTTTATTAATTTAAGAAAGACTCTCAAAGATCTCTGAGTAAGTGCAAGGTTCCTTCTCCAGACTGTCTCCAGAAGGTCACCTCAGCATAGTCCAGTGTTTGGTTCTGAGCCTTTCTTCAAGTTTTTAGCTCCGTGTTTTGGGTCATTGTCCTGTTGGAGGACTTGATGCTCAGATCAAGCTCTCTGACACGGTGCAGCACATCTTGCTCCTCGATAATCTTGATTTGATTATTTCACGAGTAGATTTTTTTATTATCCCGTTTCTTTTTTTTTTCATTCAACCTGTATTTATACAGGTTAGTCTAATTGAGCCTCAAGGACTCATTTACAAGAGAGACCTGATTTAAGCAAAGAATGATGACAACAGTAGCAATCATATAAAATAATATAAAATGAAACGTTAAAAAATTTATATAAAACTAAAGTAAAATAGCTACATTATGAAGCGATGTAAAATACTAAAAATAGGAACATGTCTGCATTGGTTTTTGCAATGAATTTAGCAGTTGTTTGAAATCCCTCAATAAATTCATACACCAAAGTTAGTCATGGAGTTCCTCAAGGTTCAGTGCTTGGACCAATACCGTTTACTTTATATATGCTTTCATTAGGTAAAGTTATTAAACAGCATGGGATACATTTTCATTTTTATGCTGATGATACACAGTTATATTTGTCCAATCCAGTCAGCTACTTAAGTTACAAGCATGTTTTAAAGACATAAAAACTTGGATGACCCTTATTTTTCTCTTAAACTCAGACAAGACTGATTTTAACTAAGGAATACACAAAACGTATCTGCGTTTACCCCTGAATAAACCAGGACCAGAACAGCTTTTTAAGTGTTTCTTTGTCGTCCCCCTCCTGAATTTTTCCATCTTCTTCCAGAACCCAGCGTTTCCTGTCGGGACCGTTCGCTCCTGGCGTGGATGTAGCAGCAGGGCTGTTTGTCGTCTCCCATGACGGAAAGTTGCTCTTCAGCGGCGGACACTGGGACAACAGCCTTCGGGTCACCTCTCTGGTCAAGGGCAAGACGGTGGGACAGCACATCAGACACATGGGTAAAGATAGACAGCGGAGACATGAAGACTGGATGGAAGAATCGTTCTCGTGACCTTGAAAATGACTTGGAAGTGAACTTGTAACGCCGGTTGTTGTTCCCTCCTTCAGATATCGTAACTTGTTTAGCAACAGACCACTGTGGGATCCACCTGATCTCCGGCTCAAGAGACACAACCTGCATGGTGTGGCAGGTTCTGCAGCAGGTTAGAGGAACCCGAGCTCACCTATTAAAAAAAAAATAGACGTCTGTTTTTATTTTTGAGAACAATTCTTGTTAAACGGTCTGCTTAGTTTTTCTTTCTTGCCTTTTTTTTTTATTTCAAAAAGAGCGGCGCGCCCGTGGGTCTCTCCCCCAAACCCATCCAGGTGTTGTACGGACACACGGATGAGGTGGTCAGCGTCGCCATCAGCACGGAGCTCGATATGGGTGTTTCTGGATCACGAGTAAGAAATCGCACAAAACTCCCTTCAAGAAAAGACGTTTGTTTGTTTTGGTTGATACAGAATGAGCGTAAGCTGCAGTGCAAGAATTGTGAACATTTTTATTTTTGAGATTGTTATAAAAAATAAGTCTGTAAAGACACCGTCGAACAATCCTGGTAACAAAAATACCCCAAAAAACTTTCTAATCTACCTTTAAATCAAAGTTTGTCCAGAATTATTCCTTTCAATTCTCTTTTGATGTCCGTTAAAATTTAATGTTTTTCTCAGCCAGCGCCAGGAAATCCCTTCATATAATATTTGGTGTGGTGAAGCTTGAGGATTCACCTTTTAAATGTAGAGTTGGAATTCTTGATGACGTCACTCCAGACCAATAAAAATTGTTTTTAAACCAGCACTCGTATACAAAACTAGCTCGTTGCCAGCTGTTAAATTAACAAATTGCAACAAACTGCGTATCATCATGAATCTTTGGAAAAAGTAAATTTAAAAATAATAATTAATATTGGAAAAAAATCCTCCTTGTGACTCATTCGTGTATACATATACAGGTGCTGGTCATAAAATTAAAATATCGTGAAAAAGCTGATTTATTTCAGTAATTCCGTTCAACAACTGCTAGATGTTAATGCTATACAAACGCGTTACCACCCATCCCACCCCCAGATCCTGTGATCAAAACTGGCTAAAGCTAGTAGGCAGGCAATACACATAGACGTGGACACCCGCCCATACCCCGCAAAAAAAAAAAAGTCCATAGATGAGGGGAGGAACATAGACTGACCGGTAAACAGAGAGCTTTGCCTTACAGCTCAGCTCTCTTCACCTCAACGGACCGGCGCAGAATCTGCAATACTGCAGACACTGCACCAATCTGTCAATGTCACGCTCCATTCTTCACTTGTGAACAAAACCCCAAGATATCTAAAAAACGTTAAGACTGGTCCTCTGGACATTCAAAAAAACAAAAAAATGTAGAAACGTTGCCAAACCACCACCTTCCAACATCAGTAGAGAGGAGAGGGATGCACTCACCACTCTTAGCAAGGACAAAAACATCATCATTCTCCCAGCAGACAAAGGAAGGTGCACAGTGATTTTGAACCAGAAAGACTATCATGAGAAAGTTATGACACTCCTTAGTGACTTAA